AACTGAAAATTAACATTTAAAAAAGTAAATAAAATAAAACAAATATAAATATTAAAATTAACAAAATAAAATAAATATTTGAAATAGGTAAATTAAACAAAAATAAATATTCAAAATCAATAAATAAAATTGAATTCAAAATAATAAACTAAAATAAAAGAAAAAAAATTTAATAAAAATACATAAAATTAAATTCAAAATACTAATCTAAAATAAAAAAAAATGTAAATATATATTAATAGAAAAAAAAATTTAATAAAAAAATTAAATTAAAAATAATAAATAAAAAATGAAATAGATATAAAAATTAATGAAATAGATATAAATATTAGTTGAAAATAATTAATAAATAAAATTAAATTAAAAATTATAAACTAAAATTGAATTAAAAAATTAATAGTAATGAAATACAAATAAATATTAATAGAAAATAATTAATAAATTAAATTAAAAACAGCAACTACATCAAAATAAATTAATAAAATAAATTAAAAATAATAACAGCAAATAACAATAAATATATATAATACATTTAATTGGCGCTTTGTAACCACTGAAGCGATTTTCTGCCGAGGTCCTTCTCCAATTTGTGGTTTGGTGTCTTGACGGTTTTTCCTACCACCGAAGGGTCGCTTCCGAACGGCTGAGAAATACACTCGGAGAGGTTGACATTCCCTGTCGAGAGGCGACCACAATTAAAAAATTTAGCATAATTTTTTGTTTAAATTAATTTTCTATAACTTTTTGGTTGTTAGAACGTCATCAGGACTTGAACACGAGATTCCCGAACGGCAGTATCCAATGCTAAGCAAATCATACTAAATTTTGTCAATTCATGCCCACTTAAGCAAAAAGCCCACCTATGTACCGAATTTTCAGTAAATTGAGCCATAAATACGATTGATTAGAATTAGTTGGTCTCTGATCTAGATCAAGGAGAGTGGAGTCTTCATGCCAACCTAAGCAAAAAGTCACTTATGTACTCAATTCCAAGTTAAACGAGCCATAAACACGATTTCTTCGTATAGCTCAGGCGCTGATTCATTCTCCATTTTTCATACAAATCTTTCCAGGAACCATAGAAACAATTCGGTAAAATTTCACCTTAATCGATCGTTAACTTTTCGAAATATACGAACATATATACATATATATAGAATATTATATTTTTTTTTTTTTGAAAAATAGGCGATTTATTTTCACCCTTTACATTTAGCCAGAAATTAACTTTTTGCTTTGATATTGCATTCTAATGCTATTGGATTATTTTATCTTATCTTTGTAAGCAAATATAATGTTTAGCGATACACAAATATAATGTTTAACATACACACATACGTATGTATATCGCATGAACATTAAAATAATAAAAGTAATTTAATTGTGATTATTATTATTATTATTATTATTATATGTGTCGGCAATCGCTCCGGTGCAACCTTATAAGCAGAAAATAAATAAAATATTGACTGATAATAATAGGACGGTTTTCATTGAAGAATATGGCGGAAGTGAACTATATTCATACATACATACATACACACATTTATTTTCCGACGTAAAATATTTAAATATAGTACTGGTATTTTAGCACTTAGACATTACTACTGGAAAGCTATTATTTTAATATTATTTTTATATTTTTAGTATTATTGCGTGCCAAAAAATTAAATTAATTTCTTTTTTGTAAAAGCTTACTAAGTCGCTTTTTAGTTTATAGAACTTGTACTCGTTTAAGAAATTATAAACACACAAAAAAATATTATTTTGAGCAGCTTTTTAAGCAGAATTTTTTATAAGACGAAGATTTGACGATTTTTTTTTTACACAAATAATTTTTTTTTTTAATTTCACCACTTCCATTTGCTGCCGGCTAATTAATATTAGAAGCTTTCGGGCAGCATTTGTAGAAACACTTGTTCGTAGATAAATCTACACACACACACACGTATGTACATATATAACCACTTTTTCAATTTTCATTTATCACTATATGCATATTGATTGAACTTTCACACGCAGGCCACACATACACGTATATACATATGTACACATTTATTTTTCACCTATTATCTAATCACAAAAAATTATTCTCCCGCTCACGAAATTTCAATAAAAGTGTTTTTGGAGGCATTAATCGTATTGACGTGGAAACTTTTAGAGTGACATCATTTAGTGTTCCTTACACAGTGGCAAATATGTACATACTGCATACATACATACATACATATATTTAGATATATAAAATTATTTTTTTTCGATGGATTCGCTATGCTAATCTACACTCACTACAGAATCCTCTGCCAAAGTTCATAGGTAAATATGTGTATACTATGTATTCACATAGGTGGATTATTCTCACCTGCTGATGACTAGCTCTTTGTACATATGTATGTATGTACTATGTAAGTGAAAAATATCAAATTACTAAATTTTGAAAATGTAATATACAAGCAAAGCTTTGGCTGAATGGTATATTAAATAATTCTTTTCTATGTACATAAGTATGTGAGAACTCTGTCATAAATCTATATATTTATATATTTTATGAAATGTGTAGCATTTTTAGTAGTATCTTGATTTTTTTTAATTTAGGATTAGCAAATCTTTTTTCATACATACATATGTTCATACATATGAACACATTAAAGTAAAAGTAAAGTATACATATTCTTACTACATTAGTTTTTTCTTGCCCTCTTGCTGATTTTGTTCTTTTTTTGTTTTTGCAACTTTATTTAATGTTATTGACATTTACTAGAAATTTTCCATTGAATTTGCTGCGCACCAGGCGGATATATGATTACATATGTACATATGTAAATATATGACAATGTGATTATATTGTGTTTACTGGATTCTCATATTTCTTCAGAGTTGTGGAACAAGTACTATAACAAAATGAACAATAAACAAAGCACTAGCTTATTTATTGTTTTTGTTTTCTTTTTTCATTCGAGTAAGATAAAATGTATACGAAAACAAAGAACATTTGCCTGCGGTTGAAATCAGAAAGTCATGTGTGAATGCTTACAGACATATGTATGTATGTGTTTATAATACATATAAGATGTAGGAAAATCGGACGAAAGAGCAAGAGAGTAATTATAAGAAAATATTTTATACGGCATACTTTGAAAAAAAAAAAATATTTTCACTTATTTTGATTCATTTCTACAGCCCAACACTATTCATGGCAAAGGTTTTTAAATTTAGAAGGAAAGGTAAAATTTAAATTCATAAAAAAATATTGTCTCATTTTTTTTTAATTTTTATAACATAAAATTATTCTTGACAACTGCTCACAAAAAAAATGTAACAGTAACAATTAAATTCGAAAAAATTAGTTATTTTCACAATATCTTTTTTAAATTTTTTTTTCATAACACTCTTAATGGTAACTTTTAGAAATTTTAGAAAAATAGATCATAATTATACCAGCGTAAGTTGTAGTCATCACGCTTAAATAATATTTTATTATTATTATTCAAATAATAGTTTTCATTATAAGTTGAAAAGCGGTACAGGAAATTTCGATTATGTATTTGGAGATTGTGTTTCACTTACATATGCTACATATATACTCCGGCACATGTGCCCGCTTCCACCCTTAAGGGAAACGCAGTTATTAAGGTCAAGTTTGGTTTTCTTTTTTCTTCTTTACTTTCAATTTCTATCAAATTCTATTTGTCATAAACTACCCGGCCGTTTCATTACATTAATATTTATGTGTGTACATATGTACTTACTTGCTTTAAATGTCTACAAAGGATTTTGTTATTAAAGTGTTTGTTAAAAAAAGCGCTACAGCAGTAACAACAATAAAGATAATATGTAAGCAAAACACACAAAGCGATAAAACAGCTGTTTGTGAGCACAAATTAAAAAACAAAACTATTAAGAACTTCGTCATAACAATTGTACTGAACTGCTTTGGTAATTATAATTTGTCGATGCTTACATCCATATGTGTGTACAAGTGTAAATATGTACATGGCATGTACTATATAAGCTTATACCCAATTGAAATGCATATACAATTGTTTGATAGTGATATGTACGCAAGTTTGAAAGCTAGTCATTAAATATTAGTAGTAGCTTCCAAAATATTGCATAACATTTTTCTACCAAAAAAAAAATTTTTTTTAGCGATTTTCACATTTCTTTTTTTGATTGTTTGCAAATTTTCAACATAAACTGAAATAATACATTTTACATTTAATATTCTATTACACACATTCATTCGTAGCCGGTGCGTTGCGCTACTACAACTATTTTCACCAACTTCCTCTTCCGCACTCTTTTATTTTTTAAGAACACTCTTTAGAAATCGAAACTCACATAATTAAAGTCACATAATTTAGCAAATTATAAATTATTTATAAGGTCAGCATTTCTACAGAAAATTAAAAATTCATAGGCATATATATTTTTTTAATTTACTCCAAATTCAACTCACATTTTATCAGCGCAACGACTCGTCAAAAACTGAATAGCTACTGAATTTGTCAGTTGGCATAAAGCTGTGAAGAACGAGCGATAGCAATGTGAAATAATTTTACTCGTTACTTCCCGTGGTGGCTGGTGTTGCCGGAGAATTATGTGCAGAAAAAAAGCTTTTTTTATTTAATTGATAATAAGCTTTAATTTATTTGAAGCTCGAATTCATTTTTGCATATGTATGTAGCAAAAAGTAAAATTGAAATACAAAAATTCAGCAATGCATTTGCTATAAAAATTGTACAATTATTTGTATTTCCTTTGTGAAATACCGGATGTGAGTGGCCATTTTCTAAGCATACACGAACATGCACGCAGCACAACGGAAATACGCGCAAAATATAAAGTATGAAAGGAAACTAAAAACAAACTGTCTCTTTTTCTGCCGCTTTTTGTAAAATTGAGCTGAATTCATTGTTTAAAAAATATTTCGCGTTTTTTTTTTTTTTTGAGAGAATAACAATAATGCAAACATTATTTTTCGTTTCATACACCAACAGTGTCTCCTTTACAAAATGGCCGATCCAAATAAATCAACCACGTTTAATCTGCAATTACCTACAAGCAATACTGCTGGACAAATGTTGGCGCCTGCCTTATCTACGCCACAAAAACTGAACACAGGCTCTGCTACGGGGAATCCACGTAATAAATGTGCGCTTAAGCCCGGTCACTCGTTAATGGATTGGATACGTCTTGGTAATTCGGGCGTAGATTTAGCAGGTACACATGGACGCGTAACTCCAGTTAGCAGCAAAGAATTGGCGCGTCATAATACACGTGAAGATGCCTGGATGGCAATACGCGGTAAAGTGTATAATGTGACGCGCTACATGGACTTCCATCCGGGTGGTTAGTAGAATTTGAAATTTTTTTTTTTTTGCAAATTAACTACACTCTGCATTTAAATTAGGCGTCGATGAGCTAATGCGTGGCGTTGGACGTGATGCTACTAAACTTTTCGACGAAGTACACGCCTGGGTAAATTATCAGCAATTACTGATCAAATGTTATATTGGTCCACTACGTACAGTGGTAAAAATGGATTCCATACCAGAGGGAAAAACGTCTCTGCCCATAGTACCCACCGCTAACTTCGGTAAGCCACTACCAGTAAGCAATAGTTCAGTGCCTGCTAATATCGAAGTAGTACCCCGCTTCGATTGGATACAGAAACGCTCAGATATTACAATCTACATTTATACACGTCAGTTTTGTAATCCTGGTTTATTCGTGTGTCGCAAATGTGCGAAAGTGCTGCAACTGCAGGTGCTTATCGAACACGTTCAACACATGTTCGAGCTGGAGTTGCATGAAGAGGTCTTGTGGCCAGCGAAATCTGTGCGTGTGGGTAGCGAAACAGGCAAAATTGAAGTGACGCTCACAAAAGTAGAGCCCGCCTTGTGGCCCTCATATGGTGCACACACTCTTTCGAGGGGTGTAATGAGTGAAGCTGAGGATTCGCAGTATGAATATGAAGTTCTCAAATGTAGCGATTTCAATCACGATTCTTTTGAATTGTGTTTGCGCGGCACACCGGATGTAGCGATGGTGCTGCCCATTGGTTATCACGTGACAATAGCTGCGCTAATAAATGGTTCGACTATAATAGTTATAATAATAAAAGTTTTTTTTTTTGTATGATCTCAATACATATATTTACAGGCGAATTAATACGTCGCAGTTATACTCCCGTCTCTGGTAAATTTTTGCATCAACCGCTAACAGCTGACACTGACGCCAATAGTACAAACTTAAATTTCCTTATTAAAAGTTACAACGAAGGTTCACTCTCCAAGCACTTACGCCAGCGGCAAGTCGGTCAGGTGTTACTACTTTCAGCACCACGCGGTAATTTTCGCCTTCAACGTTTAGTGACGCATCGCCAAATCGCTCTTATTGCCGCTGGCAGTGGTCTAACGCCTATGCTGAACTTAATCGAGCATTTACTTAAACGAAATGCAAATCGCATGTGAGTAATAGAAAAAATTAGTTTTAAAAATTTTAGAGTCGAATATAGTGGGGATAATTCAAAGCTGAAACTTCCATGAGACACCTCTGCATAACTGCATTGAAAAATTATAAAAGCGGACTTGAACTTTGTTCCGAAATCGGAAAGACGAAGGTTAGGCACAGTAGACTCTATATGGTCTAACCCAACCCATCGAAGGCATCTTGTCGGGCAAAAGTCCTTTACATGCCAGCTAAGGCCCCGAAATATGGTTGCTTGCGATAAAAAAATCAAACAAAAATGTTCACGTTGCTTGGTGGGATCGAAAACTCCGAGCAAAGTCCCTCGCGAGCCGAATATGGAAGCAAACTTAACTCCTACTTATCAAGACGTGACCTTTACATACCCATTGTATGTCCAGCATACACTGATTCCCACTATCACCTCTTTGCAATCACCAAAAGCCTACATAACTTACACAACTCTCCCGTTGGTTTGTAACTGTCGGACTAGCCTCCCATTAGATGACCTCCTTGACGTAGAGTAGCCTTGCCTAATTCTAGGCGGAGTTAATGAACCGCCACCATAATACGAATAATCCGCAACAACACCGTTGAATGTTAAGGGCATATATTATACGTGCTTTTTACTTTAAGCTGTTGTGGGGTTTGAGTTTCATAGATGTCTTGTTTAAAGTAAGACTTCCGGTAAGGCCAGCTCTGTTGAATAAAGAAGAGTTTGAATCAGGAGATCAGGAATAGCGGTTTAAACAATATTTCCACTTATCGTGGGAATGACAGAAGGGGAGCGACTCTTCTCGGTTTAAGGTGATTTTTTTTAACAAATTAGTATTATTTGTTTTAAAATTAATATTATTATTGCACGATCGTAGAGCGTATAGCAGTATGTGCCGCGAGTCGGAGGCTCTAGAGCCCGAATCGATCAGACAAAAATTTTTCAAATTTTTTTTTTTTTTGATTTTCGTCATCCCTTGACTGTGAAAGTCAAGCCCGCGGAGTGTATTTATGACACGAGATAAGGAGTTCCTCATAAATATCCCCCAGCCCATTCGAGGCGACTCAAAACTGTGGGTAGCTTTCGTTTGTGGGAATGACAACAAGTCGCTCACCACAAATAGGAAAAGGAGCTCGGCTAAAAATCGTTTTAGCAGTTATATAGCGCCATTTAACATATATGTACATATACATGTCTATATGTATAAATTAAAAAAAAAATGTTTATTGTTCTCTATGAGAAATTGGAAAAACCGGAAATTTCAATTTCGTTAAACCATTGAAAAACATTAAAACTCTAATACGCATTTAACTGTAAAAATTCACGGTTTTCAAAATTTTTTCAGCGACTATTTACGGTTATTGTATTTCAATAAAACACCCGCCGACATATGGTGCCGCAGTGAGCTGGAACAGCTGCAAACCACCGATGAGAGGTGAGTCAGCAGAGCAATACGAATGAAATAGATATATACACATACAATTACATACACATATGTGTATATATATAATACTATATTTTATTTTAGATTCCAATTAGTGAACGTACTCTCCGAGGCAGACGCCGATTGGACGGGCTTACGTGGACGCATCAGCAATGAACTGCTCGCTCCGCTCATGACGAAGAATACACCAGAATATGCCAGTTTTGTGGCGATTTGTGGACCCAGTGGTTTTAGTCGAGCCGCGGAGGATATTTTGAAAGAATTGAAATTTAATTTGGAGAATTTACACATTTTTCAAGGTTGAAAGGAAGCGCAAGTGGAAAGTGGTAGACAAGGCAAAAGTGCATGATTAAGAGTGCAAAATTATTGATTATATATATGTATGTGTGTATATTTGTACTTATTTGAATGTTTTGTAACTTCGTGTATTTTGTAAATAAGTAAACAAAGTTAAAAAAAAATTAATTTGTTTGAGTTTGTATTAAGCCGATACACAGCGTGGACATAGCGAGGGCTTCCTTCCATATGTTACATATATAAAAATAAAATATTTCTTGTGAAGAGGATATGGTGAATTCATATAGTTGTTTGAAGGATTATATTGAAGATAAGCCTTTCCTTTTTAGGTAAAGTTAGGTTAGGTTACAGGTAGATTATTAGTGATAGTCGGGGTTGGTGGCAAAGTCTTCCGATGACGTCGCGTTCAAAGAGCTTAAACTTGCACTCCTAACCAGCAAGGTTGTCGATACGATTACCGTCGGTACAAAATTATATGAATTGACTTTACTTTATATTTATATACCATCCATGATAGTGCGGGGTCTCATGGCATCCTGCAGAACATACAATTGGTATGTCAATACAATGTCCAGATTTTACTTGCGGCAGTTTTGGTCGGGCTCTCGAGGCAGCTTGAACCGTTCAACTGCATAACATATGTTAAATTTGTCGGGATCAAGTGTGAATAGCTAAAAATTACGTCGACTATTATACCTAGATCTTATTTGTATCAATACCGGTAGGAAGACAGCCGTTCATCATGCGTCTCGCTTGTCCTCATACAAATCTCAGAAGCGTAATTGACGCACCGGTGACTTTCAGGACAGCCGGTTCAACGCAAGGAAGTTAACCTGGATTTTTTTCCATCTAAGGCTGGCATTCTTTCGGGGTTATAACCCCGTTTAGGTCATCAGGCTATTGGCTTCGCACAGCCCAAAACGTTTTCAACCCTTCTGTTGCGAGATGCGGTAACCGATTTGTATATGACCTTGAGTCACGGTGTCCATACGACAGAGGTGAGGCTGTGTGCGAGCGATGGTCTTCAGTTAAGCGGCTGGATAAGCAAATGTGCTCTCATTCACCCAAGTGCTCGTGTAGTTAGTTTGTGCGCTGGGTTTAGGTCCCACTATATCACCACATAGAAATCAGCTCCAGTTAAAAAGATACCAAAGGCGCGTATGAGAGAACTAACTCTCGACGGCGACCACTGCAAACGTTTTAAGGGCCACGATTTAAGAGTTTCCACCTCGAATATTTGGTCCTTTCATTGGAAATGTTTTGCTCAACTGTTTGATGTGCTGATGCTACGCTTTAACAACCTCCACAGATTCTTCATCAATTTCTTCGTCTTCTTTCCTTTACTTTTGATTTAGTCTTCGACTAAGTTAATCTACAGTCTGTATTCACGTTAATATAAGGTTCATAAGACCTCGAGTATTATTTACTACTCAGACTACAACCTCGCTCCGGTCTGCCAGCATCAATGCGCTGGAAATTCCAAGTTAAAAAAAAATATACCCACGCTTATATGTACATATATAGAAACGTAAATCATTATTAATAGTTAGCCATACATGTATTTGTAAACAAAGCATAAATATATGTATGTATATATGTAATCATTAAGGTACATAATATTCGCTTTAAAAATATCAATTTCCGACTCTTTATTGTTTTATTATTTCATCAACTTCATATACAATTGTTTACCTTCCTCGTTTACTCATTATCGTTAAATATTTTATAATTTATATTTATGTATAATTTAATAAAATGTTTTTAACAAATCACTACATGTAGCGAGGAAAAAAAATACTACTACAACAAATACACAACACACCACCACTTCTAGTAGAATAGTATGAAGTTTTCTCCTTTTTTCTAATTAATTAATTAAGTATCTAAAGACAGTGTCTGTTAGGTTTACAAACGAATAATGCATATTTTTTTTTAATATAAGTTAAGGCGATATTGCTTCGTTTTTTCGCACACTAATTGTTATATACTAATAAATGAAAAATTAAAAAAAAACTTAAAAAAATCAATTAAAAAAAATTAAATTAAAAATAATTAAATTTAAAAATAATTAAATTTAAAAAGAATTAAATTAAAAAAAAATTTAATTTAAAAAAAATTAATTAGAAAAAATTTAATTAATAAAAAAATATAACAAAAAGAAATTGAATCGAAAAAATAAATTAAAAATTATCTATTGTAGTTTGAAAAAAAAAAAAATTAAATTGAAAGAAATAATATTTTATAGAAAAAAATAACTTAAAAAAGGTATAAATAAAGCAAGAAAAGAAACTATTAAGTAACTTTTCAGAAAATTCATTAAGTATGCAGTGCAAAAATATTTTTAGAAGTGTTGCATGTGTGTATGTGTGTGTGTGTGTACTTATGTGCGGTTCATAGGACAAAAAAAAAATTAAAACGAACATTATATAAACTTCTCCTTTCGTTAATAAATTAGAGGTTTCACAAAAGTTATGGGGGAAGGCGTTTAGCTTAGTTTTCATTTTTACTGCTTATATAGCTTCTTTCATTACAGTTCCCTAGAATACGGTATTTACGCGCTTGCAACTTGACACTAACGAATCCAGCGAGAAAGTGAGTGAGAGTACAAAACGTGTAAATTTTCTTTTTTTTTCAGCAATAAACTTAAGATGGCGGCAAATGTAGCTATGTCACTTCATATTGTTGTTGTTGTTGTTGTTGTACGTTAACCCATTCAATTAACTAATGTTAGTTTGTTTGTTTATTTGTTGTTTTTCTCGTTAGTTGTTCCATGAATTAATTAATATGAGCGTATTGCCGGTGGCACAGTTTGTACAGTTTCATCCAGAGTCTTATCAATGACTGGACGATATTTAATTGTGACTTCACCATCATCACCACACACCCACGTTAATGTGTGTTTGCGCCAATGTTCATCGAGTGGTTTCTTTTGTTGACCCTCAAGGGGTTTGCTGAAGTCCTGGGGGAGTGGGGAAAAAATAAATTAGAGAAAAAAAATGTTCAAAATTCAATACACTTACATATTCATCAATACGTGTCTTGTAGTCCTCACGCGCATGTGCACCACGTGATTCTTTGCGGTTTTCAGCAGCAACAATGGTCATTTTAGCGTTGGCTAAGAGATTTTGCAATTCGAGTGTCTCAGCTAAATCGGAATTCCACACACTCGATCTAAAATTGAAAAATAAAAATATATTTAAATAGAGAATTAATGTTAATTTTAAGCTTCAAATGCGCTTACTTGTCAATGACCTTGACATCTTGGAACTCTTTGTAGATATCCTTCATCTTTTCACAGCCCTTCTGCAGTATGGGACCATCACGGAATACAGCTGCATGACCTTGCATTGTCTTTTGCATTTTCAAACGCAAATCAGCGGTGGTAATTTTGCCATTATTATGCTTGATTTTATCCAAATTAGCCACGGACTCTTCGCCGGCGTTCTGAAGGTTTCAAATATGAAATTGAATTATTATTAATACACCTTCTTTAAATAAATTACTCACTTTATAATAGTCACTTATACATACATATATATACAAATATAATTCATACTCACATCCCTCAAACTGGGCGCTGGCACACCCGGTTTGTTCTCTTCGGCAATCGTTAGCGCGCAAGCACGTCCAAATACAACCAAATCCAATAAGGAATTAGCACCCAAACGATTTGCACCATGCACTGACGAACTGGCCGCCTCACCAGCAGCATACAAACCGGGCACAACGACATCGCAGCCATTGTCATCGATAGTCAACACTTGACCCTTATAGTTGGTTGGTATGCCACCCATATTGTAGTGCACTGTTGGCAACACTGGTATGGGCTCACGTGTCACATCAACACCAGCAAAGATCATAGCGGTTTCAGAGATACCAGGCAGACGTTGTGCCAATTGCTCTGGTGGCAGATGGTGCAATTGTAGGAAAACATGATCCTTTTCGGGACCCACACCACGTCCTTCCATAATTTCGATGGTCATTGAACGTGACACAACATCACGTGAAGCGAGATCCTTTGCTACCGGCGCATAACGTTCCATAAAACGTTCACCCTTTGAATTCACCAAATAGCCGCCTTCACCACGACAACCCTCTGTTATCAAACAGCCAGCACCATAAATACCAGTTGGATGGAATTGTACGAATTCCAAGTCCTGTATGGGCAATCCTTGACGTGCAACCATAGCGCTGCCGTCGCCAGTGCAGGTATGCGCTGATGTGCACGAGAAGAAGGCACGTCCATAACCACCGGTTGCAATGACAGTATTTTGTGCACGGAAACGATGCAGTGTACCATCTTCCAAATTCAATGCCAACACACCCTTACATATGCCATCCTCAAAGATCAGATCCAGCGCAAAATATTCCACAAAATAATTACAATCATAACTCAAAGACTGGCCATAAAGTGTGTGCAATAGTGAGTGACCTGTACGATCGGCGACGGCACAACAACGATGGGCTTGACCACCTTTGCCGAATTTCAAACTCTGACCACCGAAAGCACGTTGATAGATTTTACCTTCTGGTGTGCGTGAAAATGGCATGCCATAATTCTCTAATTCAATAACAGCTTGTGGCGCTTCACGTGTCATATAGTGTATAGCATCTTGATCACCCAACCAATCAGAACCCTTTACCGTATCGTACATATGCCATTTCCAATCATCATCCTCCATATTACCCAAAGCTGCATTGATACCACCCTGTGCGGCAATTGTGTGCGAACGTGTGGGAAAGAGTTTGGAGATGCAAGCTGTTTTGAAACCTTCAGCAACCAAACCGAAAGCAGCACGCAAACCAGCACCGCCAGCACCAACTACGATAGCATCGTAAGCGTGATCGACAATTGGATACTCCTTAGAGATGGCATCGGTGCGTACTTTAGCATCATTTTTACCATGGGTTATGTGCAGTTCACGTTGCGGCACGACAGAGGCAGTGCGTAGCTGCAAATACAAATGTGCAAAAACACATAATTATATTACTTCAATTTTTTTTTGTGATATTAATTGTACTGAATGTAAATAAAATAAACAGTGGTAATATGATAAAATAATTTTCAAAGGCAAACATATTTCTTATTCGCCACTTCCGTTTATTAGTCGGCGGATGTGAACGCAAGTAGCGAGTAAATAGAGTTGCATTTTACTTCTAGGTGCAATGATGCAATTTATTAATTAATTTTTTTTTTAACAAAAATTGCATGTAATTAGAGCTGCTTATAATAATAATTTATTTAAAAAAATATTTATACTACTGCAAAATTACTTAATGAATGCTGCTATGTGAAATAATAAAGATATTCAAACTAATTGGCATTTCATTTTAAATACAATACTCCTGGTTTTGTACGCGATGACATCAAACAAATTTAAATTTTGTGCTGCTTCATACATCTTCCCTCAGAACCGGTTAGCGCTTAATCTTTAGAATGCGACTCAAGGGTACTTCATATCTTTCATCTAAGTGCTTATCATAAATAAATACTTTTTTATACATTTTTATGTAAACATTCATACATATGTATGTGAAAATATTTATTAGCAAAGGTATGCGATAGAAAAGTGGGCAGCACTTAAAACACCGTTTATTCTTTAGAAATATTCTTTTTTGCTCGAAAATACAATGTGTGCGAAATATATGTATGTAAGTACATAAGTATTCAGCGAGTGAACGGCAATTTTACCGCTTACATTCGTTGTATGTCAACTTTAATTGCATTTTACTTGACTTAATCACCAATAGAGCGCACTTTGCAACAATTCAATTGAAGATTGTTTTGAACGACGTGGAAAATAAATCAAGAACTACAGACAGTGCAGACTGGAGCGGTTGTACTTTATGTCGTATACATATGTGCACAAAAATACATATGTATATATATTTATTGGTGCTTTTTGACCGCTGGATAGATATTTGGCCGAAATGCTCTTCCAATTCGTTGTGTGCGTCTTCATGTTTTTCCAACAAATGAAGGGATCTACAGTTTATACTAAGCCACCTCCGAATGGCTAATGTTTTTTTTATGATGGTCTTTCAGTTCATGTCAGAAGTACACTCGGAGGGTTTCTCAGCCGAGGGGCGACCGGACCAGAACTCGAACTCTGGCATTGAGAGTGGAAGTACACAGTGAATAGAATTTGCCGCTTATATAGTTTTAGCCGCTAAAGCGATTCAGCAGTGGACCTCCTTCAATTTGTGTACACAATATCTATTGTTTTTCCAACAAATTGGCCTATAGTTGGTATATTTTTAATATTCTATTATATTAGAGCTAGATTCCCAAAACAAAAAAAAAATAATAATAATAATATAAATAAGAAACATAATTAAATTAAAAAAATTTCCACCTAATAGAGTTCAGGACTTGATAAAGCAGTTCTAATACTAAAAAATCATAAACTCGAACAATAAATAATCTATTAGTAAGTTTCCTAAGCAATTTGCTTAGTTTTGCAAAAAAAAAAACCATTGAAAGCACAGACAGTCATTAACATTAAATGTATAAGTGCGGTATAAATGAATTATATACTATATAAGTGTTGGAAAAAAAAATTTTTAAAAACAATAAAATACAAATTAATAGTATATTGCAAAAAATGCTTATTCAATTTGTATGTACATATACATATGTGATTTTTTTTTTATAAATAAAAATACATAAATTACCTAGTGCAGACAGTTGTTTACATATGACATATAAACAAACAGTTTTGTATGTACAAACATACTTATAAATCTCGTCTTAAACAAAGCTCGCTAGACAAAATATTCTATACTGATTGCACAATAAGTATGTATGTATGTGTGTATTTAAAAAAAAAAAAAATTGGAAAGTAATAAGCGTTTCAGGGCCTATTGAATTGATTAGCGATTTCTTTCATAAGCTTATAAAAAATAACATTCAATATTAGGATAAATTGAAGATCTAACACATTTTATTTATTTATTATTTTTCAAATTTTTAATACTCTTTTTCTCTGTTTTGTTTTGGGAACAGTGGATTTTCAATGCTTAATTTAAAAGAACTCCAAGCGATTCTCATTCATTTGCAGAATTTAGTATCCAAAAAGTTGAATGTAATTTTTAAAACCGTTAGATATATTCAGATTTATTTAATTTGTTGCATAATCAAATTTTCATGAAATTTTTTTATTTCAAATTACAATCGCTAGTTCTGTGCTCAGAGTTTGAAATCTTGAGCAGACTTTATGCATGTACATACATACATATGTATTTATACATTAACTATTAATTAATCCACAACAGATTTGCTGTAGCCAACTCACACCGCCGTTTGTGTGTATGTAGTAACAAAAGTGACGTATTAATTACAAAAAAAAAAAAAAACCGGCGCCAGTGGCCGGCAGTTCAACGAATAGTGCAATTATGTGTAACACTTGCCAAGAGCCGATCAATTGATATGCGCTAATGCAGACATGCATATGAGTATGCATAAACGTATATACTTACATGTGTGCGTATGCATATAAGTATAGATAGCGCCTGAAATGATTAGTTTCAAATTTGTCAACATCATCGTGTCGGTCAGAGATTAGAAAATTTATTAGTGGGAATTAAGTGATGAGCTGCGGCGCCGAAATGAGAGACTCGCAAGTAATATGCAGAGAAGTAAGTAAGCTGATTAGAAAAACGAAAAGTTGAAGATAATAGATTAAACTGTTGTATCACAAGCAACAGCATCGCGTACTTGCCTAGTCACGCTCACCACAAGTCGGCTCAAAGTTGTTTGTTGTTGTTGTATGAGACTTACCCCCGTAACAATATCAACGAAAACGACAGTAAAAAAGAATAGCTCGCTAAGCAGCTAAATATCAAAACAATACTTATAGATTCGGCATAGCAAAGACGGGGTTTGCTGCGGGGGGCACGTAAACGAGCCTTCCAGCAAAGGCATGGCCCACTCATAAGGTGAAGGTCGTGGCTTTATATATTTAACTATATTATTATCATTCGTAATAATGTTTTATTTATAATATTATATAAGAGCAGCCTTTGATTGTGTGCGTTTTGCAGGTGTATAAAAATTATCACATATGAATAAAAATTTGCAAAAACCTAAAAGTTATTTATAATACTTTTTTTTAACATACAACGAGGCACACCTTTACCAATTCTTGCGCACGATAAGTGATAAGAAGCATTCATTCCTTGTACTCAAGCATACATGACATAAATCAGCACAAACGAATATATACATACATATGTATGTTTGTACATACATACATAAACATCTGTGCAGGTCAACATTAGTTTCTGAAGCTTTATTTTATATGATTCCTACATTTTCCAATGCATATATTATTTAATCCGATTTCGTGTGTTTCAAATATCCCGTATTGTATCAAAATAATATTCGACTCTGCAAAATACGACCATATGACCAATTATGCAAATAAAATGACATCCAAGCAAACAAAATAAAATGATTTTGGGCAATGTGCGATGGATAGTAAAACCTTAGATAAGTGGTAAAGTGATTAGCAAACGTATATTTATAAGAAAATATTAATTTGAAATGCGCATAAAAAAAGTTACATAACAAAAGCCGCCGTCACTACTGCTCACTACACTCCGTATTCTTTCGCGTATTGTACGTATGCAAAAACATGCGGTCTTTGGTGGTACTCTGGTCGAGCCCCCTTCATTAGCATGATCCAACCAAAAAAAATTGGGAGGAAAATGTCACAGTTCAAACGAATTTCACAATTTATATTATATTAAATGTCTTTATTGTGCTATGTATCGCATATACTTATATTAGAATAGTGCGCACAAAACAACCAAAATGCATCCTACAACTACCCCGCACCAAATACTTCGTCACCTAAAGCAATTTTGCTTTGCGTGTACTAATGGTTGTGTAATACGTGCAATTCATTTGCCACTAGTAAAACGATTATTAGACAAAATTTATAGCTAATACTCTGGGAAACACTTATATCAGTACTGATTGTGTAAGAAAGGAGTTAAATTTTTAGGTAATAGCTCGTCAAACTCCAACCTACCATTGCCGCTGCATTTTTGGCCAAAATCGATGGTACACGCATTAGGCTCGCCATTTTCGTGGGATATATAGCAGCTCACAGCAATCTCCTCTGGTTAAATAGTATTTCGTTGTTTCACTGCGCCTATTTTGAAATCAAACCGATTAGTTATTATTGTATTAACAAATTTATTTTTTTTTTTATTTTTATTTTTACAATTTAAATTCGCTCGAATTTACTTGTCAATTCGATGAAACTTCTCGCGCTCGCACCGATCGACTGATGAGAAGCAGTTGCCCAATGCTCCAATGGGGAAAACAAAAACAAATGAGGCTGTGGTGTTACCAAATACAAATAAAATGACAAACCATATTTAATAATAAATAGAATAAATGTTTACGTTTAGTAAGAAAATGCAATGAATTAAATAAATTATTAACAAATAAATTGACAATAAATTTCCTCTACAGAATTTATACACAGCTGCTTCTACTTGTAAATAGGAAAATGTTGTTTTTGCAGATAGGGTGGCACAAATGATTACTTTTCGACAGTTTCAGACGGTGCTTGTGTGCATTGAAATACCAATTAAACTGCTAATTAATTGAAAATAAAATAAGTTGATTGCTTGTGAGATTTAAGAAATTAGGAACATTTTTTAATATAAGGTGTAAATCTCCCGAGATTCTATGTTTTTAATGTGCAATTTTGGAATTTTACAACCCTGTAGCTAAGAGGAAATAGACGGGAGGAAGTATTGTTTAATGGCACTTAGCGGAAGTTATTAAAGTTCCTTACATAATTTTAAAATTAAATTAAACAACAAATTTTAAAATTGTAAACTAGCAATAATTTTTCTTCTTTTAAAAATATCAAAAATAAAAAAAGAACAATTCTGAAAGGGAAAATATTTTTATACTAATCATAAAAAGGAGTAAAAGAGTGGCAGAAATTTGATTTAAAATAATTGGAATCTCCGCATTTTTAATTTAATTTGGTAGCAGCTCATAAATATGAGCTTTATTAAGCTTTCAGCACTTACTTCCTTTACTAATAATCATAAATTTGTGAGTGATTTTTAGTTTGGCTATTTAAATCTTAAACGTAATTTTTAACAATTTTCTTAACTAATTTCAGTGTTCACTTGTATCAACATTTCAACATTCTTTGCGTGGCTTAACTTGGGACAAAAAGTCACGCAGCGATGCCAAAGTCAGCGATGGTATTTCGAAATCTTATCCAGTTGTAGATCATGCCTTTGATGTAGTTATTGTTGGTGCTGGTGGTTCGGGGCTGCGTGCTGCAGCCACTTTAGTTGAGTTGGGTTTTAAAACAGCCGTTGTTAGTAAAATATTTCCCACACGTTCGCATACAATAGCGGCACAGGGTGGCGTAAATGCAGCTTTGGGTAATCAAGTGGAGGACGATTGGCGTTGGCACTTTTATGATACAGTCAAAGGTTCAGATTGGTTGGGCGATCAAGATGCTGCACATTATATGACACGCGAAGCACCGCGCGCTATTTTAGAGCTTGAAAATGATGGTTTGCCATTTTCACGCACCGCAGATGGTAAGATCTATCAACGACCCTTTGGTGGGCATACCACAAATTTTGGTAAGGGACGTGCACGACGTGCTTGTGCCTGCGCTGATCGTATTGGTCACGCTATTTTACATACATTATATGGTAAATCACTCGCCTACGATATTAAATATTTTATTGAATACTACGTTTTGGATTTAATATTTGACAATTTTGCTTGTTGTGGCGTTATCGCTATTTGTTTGGAGGATGGCACTTTGCATCGCTTTCGTGCGCTCAATACCATTTTAGCCACAGGCGGCTATGGGCGTGCATATTTTTCCTGCACCTCTGCTCATACTAATACTGGTGATGGTAATGGCATGGTGGCACGTCAAGGTCTACCACTACAAGATATGGAATTTGTGCAATTTCATCCGACGGGTATGTACGGTCCTGGAGTACTAGTGACAGAGGGTTGCCGTGGTGAAGGCGGTTATTTGGTTAATGCGAAAGGGGAACGTTTCATGGAAAAATACGCACCTAAAGCCAGAGATTTGGCACCGCGTGATATGGTTTCACGTTCAATGACATTAGAAATTATGGAGGGACGCGGTGTGGGACCTGAAGAGGATCATATCTTTCTACAATTATTTCATTTGCCGCGCGAAAAACTTCTCACACGCTTACCGGGCATATTGGAGACAGTGAGAATTTTCACAGGCATTGATGCGACCAGACAGCCTATACCAGTAATACCAACTGCACATTACAATATGGGTGGCATACCGACAAATTATCGAGGACAGGTGCTAACTATTGATATGGATGGCTGTGATCGTACCGTTATTGGTTTGTACGCGTGTGGTGAGGTTTCATGTAATGTGCATGGTGCTAATCGTTTGGGTGCCAACTCCTTGCTGGATCTTTTGATTTTCGGACGCTCATGTGCTCTGCATATTTTTGAAAACTACTCACCAGGATGTCCCCCGCCAAAGCTGAAAGATGTGAGCTATTTATATTTTTCCTCTTTTACACATGTATATAAAAAAATAATTGAGTTTTTACAGAATGCTGGCGAAATATCTGTGGAAAATTTGGATAAATTACTGCATACGAATGGTAGTATTACAACGGCCACACTGCGTCTTCAAATGCAGAAAGTAATGCATCAACATGCAGGCGTTTTTCGTATAGGTCCCAATTTACAGGAAGGCGTTGAAAAGTTGAAAAAAGTTTACAATGATTTCAAAAATATACGCGTAGTGGATAAGTGCGTTATATAAACCATGTTGATACTCTCTGCTTATTAAGTCTGTATATACAATATATGCTTGTATAGGTCGTTAATTTGGAATTCCGACTTGATAGAAACACTAGAGTTGCAAAATTTACTGGTGAGTTCTATGTGTACAATGGTGGCTGCTGAAAATCGCAAAGAATCGCGTGGTTCGCATATGCGTGAAGACTTTCAAGAGCGCATCGATGAATATGTGAGTGGAAAAGGAAATTTATTGACTAAAATATATAAAATTGAAATGCATTTTGTTGCAGGATTACAGCCAACCCCTTGAATGTCAAGAAAAGCGTTCCATTGATGAACATTGGCGCAAGCACACACTTACATGGATATGTGGCGAGAGTGGCGAAGTCAAAATCAAATATCGTCCAGTCATCGATACACCTTTAGATGATAGTGTCGAGCATATACCGCCTGCTGTGCGTCAGTATTAATCTATTTATTGGTATTTTGTTGTTATTTAATTCTGATTTCGAAAAATATGAAATAATAGATTTTTGGTTTAACAATTTGAATTCAGCGGTTTAAGAAAGATCGCTATACGAGTATTTATTACGCGCTGTATATATTGGCCAGGATATTGATTACCTCTGTTCGAAAGTGAACGGCTACCTCGCTGATCTCTCCCACTTCTTCACTGCAAGACAGCTAAGAATTCAACCGCCGAAATCCTCGGCTACCCTCTTCACCAGCTGGACGAAGGAGTACAGGTTAGAACTAGATGTGAAGGTCGATGACACAAAAATTCCGACGGTAAATAATCCAAAAATATTGGGAGTAACCCTAGACAGCCTGCACTCCTTCACTCCGCATACGACCGCAATTGCCGCAAAACTCCAGAGCCGCAACAAAATACTCAAAGCGCTAGCCGGCAGCACCTGGGGTAAAGACAAAGAAACTTTGCTGGCTACTTATAAAGCAATTGGCCGGCCGGTCGAAAACTATGCTGCACCGATCTGGGCGCCGGGGGCGAACGATACGCAGATGAAGAAGCTACAGGCTTGCCAGAACTCCGCCCTCAGGACCGCGACAGGAAACCTTCTGATGTCGCCGGAGCATCACTTGCACAGGGAAGCATCTATGCTACGAGTTAAGGAGCATAATGCTTTGCTGTGCAAGCAGTTCCTATTGGGATGCTATCGCAGGGAGCACCCCAGTAGGTACCTAATAGAAGCTGAACCTCCACCTAGGCATATCAGAAAGGGAGTACTAGACTAGAGGGACACAATCCAGCAACATGTACAACAACCGCTGGATAGGACGGCGTACCTATTAGTACTGAACGCCATTCACCAGGAGTCAGTCAGCACCTTCAAGGACTCCCTTCCAGTGAATGGCGTACTCGGAGAAAAACCACCACCTATAGCAGACGAGCTGCCTCGAGAGACCCGCGTGACCCTGACTTAGGTCTGAATATTGTAGCAGGTTAAACTCCGCACGACACTAACCACCTCTTCTCATGCGCTCTCAAACCAATTCATCTAACCCCGTCGAAACGGCTCGTTTCCTGGACTTACCATTTGATGACCTCGGCGACTTAGACTGATCAAACCTACCCCTAAGCGGGGTTAGCGAACCGCTACAACAACAACTACAACAACAACGCGCCGTATATACATATGTGGCTTTCCTAAAACCACTCTGCCATTGTGGTCGACAAACGATAAATATATAGCGAACAAAGCTTATATCTGTATGGTCATGCTGTCAACATAGGCTACTGAGGGCATATATTTACCACAAAATTACTTATGCAAGTATGTACATATATAAATATTTTATCAACTAAAAAATAAATCAGCATCAAAGAAAGGCATTCCGGTAAAATTTTTATTATATTTTATGTGAAACAGTCAGTTATACTTTCGTGGACATTTTACATACATATATGTTATAAAAATAAACATTTTTCCACAAATATTCGAAGTCAAAAAAGTTTAAATGCGAAATACGCGTATAAATACAAGAAACTAATTAATACTAACACCTTAGGTGGCTGTTGGTGGCGTCACCTTTTTGCCACAACGCATAGCATACTCCTCTTCCGTTAAATCAGATAAATGATTTATAGCCATTTTCCATGTAACCTCACCACTTTCATATTTTTTATTGTGCTCTTCGACCATTTGCTTTGATTTTATATAGCGTTCACGACGCATTTTATCCTCATCGTCGGAGTAGGCCTTATTAAATTTCGACTGAAAGCATGTGGGTTTAAAATTAGATTTCAAACAATATTTAGAGATTTTTATACCTTATACTCCTCCCATTCTTGATCAGAAACCAGCGACATCTTTTTTTCTTAATGCGAAATTTACTGTTGTAAATAAACGACTGCGCTTATATCTGCTTGTTGCTTTTGAATGTAAATAAAATAGCTTTATAAAAGCAGCTCTGATTACTGATAATATATGCAAAAATGACTCAATCAGTCCTATATAGTATTTCTTTGTTTAACTTCTGGTTGTGTGATAAACAAAGGCAGAAAAAAGTGAAAAAGTTAAGAAACAAAACAATTTCACTAATGACGAGATGACTAAAATAAAACAATAACATCAGCTGTTAGTGAAGGACATAAATAAAAGTCAAAGCAGAAACTGTGCTGCCAACTGTATTTCTTAAAAAACATTTAACGGGTGGGTCATGAAGAATTTGCGTTTAAAATCGGGTAAATAATGCGGTTAAAATATTTTTCAGTAGTCTTGCACTTTTTGAAATGCCTTAACATTACCGTGAATGATAAAACACCACTTTATTCCTTTCATTGTGTCTGTCCAAACATTTGTTTTTAATACATTTACGCTAGTATAGTTCTCATCGTCTGCGACTGCAACTATACGAAGAACTGTACTCATTACTCTCCCGAATGATAATGGATCTAAGGTCGCAGTCTACATAATGAAATATAATTTATGGTTGCAACGGACAGTGCATTTTCAATTTGACAATTTTCTCGCAGTTCCGGTAGACGGTCGGATTTAATTTTTGGATGAAATTGATTTATTTATTTAAACCGATGGTAACGCTCTCAAAATAGCAGCGCTAAACAAATGAGTTCGAGTGTAAAGTTTTGCAGCCGTTGTGATATGGTAGTTCGATTAATAGATCGATCATCGATAACTAGAAACTTCCTTTTCCTTTCAAGAAATAACGGAAAAAAATTATTTATGCAGCGTATACCTCGTAGTCTAGCAAATTATTCAATAGTATTAAAATTTTACATTATATAATGCGAGAGAAATATTAAAAACTGGAAAATATAAACGTTACTACGACTAACCATCGGATTTGTTAATTTGGTTTCTGATAAAAAGTAACAATTCGGTTTAAGGGTTTGCCAAAGGGAATGTGTTGGGGACAACAACCTGCAAAACATTTTAAATTAAAAATAAATAATAATTAAGATGTTATTCGTGTTTTTTGTCAAATATCCAACACATGCATGCTTAAACAATTTTTTCACTCACCTTACCACGTACATACGTATGTACAAACATACATTGCAACTTCTGTGCGCGAAAAAACAGTGGCCGGGCGTGCAGGTAAACAAGTGCATTTAAAATATTGAAGTAAGGTAGGTAAGAAGCTTAATTTTCAAATTGTAAACTTTTTGTACAATTATATAAATTTTTATTTACGTTTCTTAAATATGATGCATTTTTTTTTCATAGGCAAATATAATTATTTTCATAAATTTATTATATGTATACTTGTGTAATAGCTACTAAATATTAGACGAAGAGTGTTGGTTTTGTTAAAAATTTATTGTTTGAATTTTGTGTAATTACGCGTTTTGCTTAATTTTTTTTAAGTGAAGTATTAATTACGCACGTTCAATGTTAATTTATGCATTTTTTGTTTTATTAATAATTTGCAGTTGTGTATAAAATGATTAGCGAAAATAAAATGAAATTTAAATAAAGTTATTTGAAAAAGTATGGTTTTATATAAAGAAATTTTGCAGTTTTTTTTTCAGATAATTACAAAACGATTTTAAAACATTTTGTTAAAATTTGCGCTGTATATACATATATGTATGCTTGAAATTTTTTTTAAATAATTTCAAATGACTTGTAAGCATGTTACAGAATGTTGTTTTCAGTATTTCTAAGCAATAAACTTTAGTTTTTTGCTAATAACGCAAAAAAATTGTTAGAAAAATGCTTCTGTAGATGTAATTAAAGTGCTTATTAAACATGCATGTGAATTAGTAATAACTGCTTTAAAAAAAACAAAAAATCGTAAGTTCGAAAAATTGGAGAGTGTAAAATTCGAACTGAGCAAAATATCAAAATATTACCAAATAAATGAACTGCCAACAAAAGTTTGTGATGTTTGTATATTTTCTAAGCTTCCAATTTTCAAGTTTTTTAACCTACTTGTAAACAAAAATAAAAACACTAAATAACGTGAAAACCAAGAGAAGTTTTTTTTCACAAAAATAGTCAACTAATAACACAACTGCAAATATTAAAAAAAAAAACAATTTTTATCAAACACGCCGTTTTGCCTAAAACTACGCTGCTCAAAATTATAAAAGAAAAAATAAAAAGAAATATATAATACGTATACGAGTACACTTCTTTTCTTTTTTAAAGAAAAATATTATTAATAGCATCGCAAAAAATGCATACATTGCATCTTTTAATATGTATATGTGTATTTTCATATATAATATATAATTATTTAACATAAAACTTAAGTTTTAAAATATTACAATAAAAATTGCCAACGGAATAATTGTATTTTCATTACTTTTACACGATTTCATATAATAAATTTTATTGTTACAAACTTTATAGCTGCAAAAATTGCTTTCTTGGAAAACTAAAATATTTTTAAATAATTTTAACAATTTTTTTTATCATAAAACATACTTTCAACTGACATTAAATTTGAAATAGAACACAACTTTTGTATTTATTATAAAAACAAATGAGAAAACACACTAGCAGACAAAAAAACAAAAACCAGACATACGGCGTGATAAAATCGATGTGCATTTAATGTGAGTACAAATGTAATGTAGAACGCTTGGACAAATGGTTTTATGGATTTGATAGGGCACAAAACGACGCATGCAGGTGAAACATACAAAAACAAACGCAGCAACCGAAATCCATTTAATAAAACATAAATATAAATATAATTTTTATACAAATTTCATATTTTTCAAGTGAATTGAAGTGTTCTAAAAAAATTTAACAAACATCAAAAGATAATTTAGAAAATTTGCGCACAAAATTATTGAAAAAAAAATAAATAAATTTATTTTAAAAAATTATGAAAGCGTTTATTTATAAAACTAAACTTGTCATAGATGTTGGAAAAATTAAAAAGAAGTTAAAAAGTTTAAAAAAGTATATATTTATAAAAAAAACAACAAAATCACAAAAGATATTTGCGTGCGAGTGAAAAAAGCTCTGCATATTGAATACCACTAATAAAAAAAAGCGTATAATACATATGTATATATTTTTCTTTTGTGCTGGCAAAAAAAAAAAATTCCAAAATTGAGAAAAAATTTACTTACTGCACAGTTTATAGTAAACAAAAAAATATAAAAAATATATATATTGCTTTTTTGTTTAAATTTAGTGAGTTATGTTTTTTTTTCTTTTTTGTTTATTTAAGCACAAATTATAAGTTGTTATAATATGTTAATTAGCGCTTCTTAATTTTCTTAATGCTTTCTTGTTTAATTTTGTCATTCGTTTTATATGTTTAAATGTTGTTGTATGCGAAAAAAGTACTAATATAAACTATTACACTTTGTTGCATATATTTTACATGCTATGGCAGTTTAGTAATTATATATGTATACATATATATATATATATACATTTTTAACTATTTGATTTGTTCTTGTGGGTGTGTTGTCTGAATTTATTTTATTTAATATATGTAAGTATATGTAAAGTATGATTTCTTTATTTTCTTTTTATAAAGTAGTAAATTTATGATTTCGTTTTTGTATTAAGTTTACATAAATTTCAAATTTTTTTTAATTTGTTTATTGCAAAGTATGTATTATGCAAGTATTTATATTTAAATATTTGATTTCATATTTCAATTTTTTAAATATTTTCGCTGTATAAATTTACATTGAAGCGCAACATGCAGAATGATATTTGTTGTTATTGGATTAGTAGCATTATATGCAGTTCTTGGGTGTGCTAAATTAAAAAGTTATTATTTTTAAGTGCACACAAGTATTTATACATAAACGCATAGTTTGCATAAGCATAAATTTTTGAAAAATATTTTTATGCAATTTTTAGGCAAAAGATAATAATTTTGTTGTTGAACAAAGCCGCTTCAGCGGTTATAAAGCGTCAATTATATATGTATATAGCATATATGTGTATGTTTTTAGCTTTAATCAAAAACCGATCAAAATACACTTGCCCAGTGATTGAAAATAAATCGTAAATACATTATACATACATATGTATATATATATATGTATGAATGCTTCATAATAATGCATTAACGAAGGCTTTGTTACTTATAATAGCAGGTTTATCATTATTATTTATTAAAAAAATATCGCACACAGATACATACATATACCATGTATGTTTCATATAAATTTTCGCTGTTATTGCACGCTACTCGTCTAATATCTACTACACTTTTATACAAAAAAAAGTAATTTTGTTCTTGTTTTGCGCTACTAAATGTATAATTTTATTAAATTTTTGTATTTATTATTTTTATCATTTACTAATATCGGAGTGTACAAGTGAAATTTAGAAGGTTTTTTTTAGAAGAGAATTTTGCATGTTATTTTAAATAAATAAGTTTTTTTAATTTATCTAATTTTTTAATAATTTTTATTTTATTTTGTTTATTTATTTTATTTTCCGAATTAAATTTCTCTTAATTTTTTTTGTATTTACTTTAACTTTTTCTTATTTTTTTTAATAAAATAAATAACATTTTGAAATTTACTTTATTCATTTTAAAATTATTATATATTTTTATACTCGCATTTATTTTAGTTTTTCCGATTTATTATTAATTATTTTTTCTTTATTTAAATATATTTTTTAATTTATTTCATTTTGTTCAATTTATTTCACTTTATATTTTAATTAATTTATCTTATCTTTTATTTTTATTTATTTTAGTTTGATTTATTTTATTGATACATTTTTTGGTAGTATTTTATTTTCATAATTAATATTTTTAATTAAATTTATTCTGTCTAATTTATTCTTTGAATTAATTTATTTTCTTCAATTTATATTATATTTTAAATTTATTTTTTTATTTTTCAAATTTATTTTGTTTTTTTTTTCATAATTTATTTTTTAATTTAATTCATTTTTTCATCTTTAATTTTTTATTTTTTTTCCAAACTAATTTTTTTCAGTCAGTTATTTTGTAATCAAATTAATTTTTTCCACTCATTTTATACTTTTAGTTAATTTATTTCTTTCAATTTATTTATTTTAAGTTATTTTCTCACATTTTGTTAATTCATTAATCTTTTTAAATTTATTTGTTTTTAGTTAACTTTTATTATGTAAGTTAATTTTTT